CCATAAATGTGTTTCTTTTTTTTTACTGAAATAGAGAGTAATAATAATAATCATCATCATCATCATCATCATCATCATCATCATCTCCACCATCATTGACCCTTATACGTCTTTCGTTTTTCTGAAAATATGTTATCATCTCCACTTTTGTCTTTTTTTCCTGTAACTCATGAAGTTTACAGACTATTGTAAGAATAAAATGGAGTGAATTGACTAATTTAAAAGCGCCGCTTTGATTGGATCGTAAGTATTCGCGTCACGTGGTGTCCGATTGGCTTTTTTCTGCTGTGAAACTTTCCTCATTTTTAGAAACATTTTTTGCTTAAACCTAAACAAAGCCTGTTCGAGACTAATGCAGAAACATAGACACGGTGCGCTTATTAACGAACATTTTCCCTTCAGAATTCTCAATATGAGATTAAATGGATATAAAAATAAAATAACTACGAATGTTGCGAAAAACAACGTAGTTAAAATAGATATAACTAGCTTTAAACTCAGCACTTACAGTTAATACATGTTTAACATGCAACTATTCAACCAACCTATGATTTCTTTAATTAAATATAACTTCAATTATAAATGCAGCTTCAGTTCTTTAATCAGATTTTATTCCAAGTTTTCCTCATGAAAACAACAAAAACGCGTTTAAAGTAGTTTTTTAAAGTTTTTTTTGCCCGCTATAGGATCTGCTAGCATGAGAGTGTAGAATCATAGTAATCATATATTTTTCATCAGGCCTTTGTCTCGCTGTTTGAGACAGAGCGCAGTCTGAGGCTCGAGCAGTAACGCTGTTAATATGAAATAGTAAAGAGTCCCAGCGCTGCATCAGCTGTAGTTATTATGAAGCAGTAGTTTTTGCCCCGGTTGCTCTTATTTAGAGTGAGCAGTTCGTCCTGCCCCATATAGGACAGCTCTGATGCTCTGATGCAGCAAAACACACACCCCAGCCAGCTGCCAGTCCCAGGCTGGGACGCGTTTTAATCCAATGTGCAATCAATTAAAACCCCGAAGCGCGCGCGGAAAGTTTCATTTTTGCATCTGTTATTTTTTTATTATTATTAAGATTCCTTCTCGTGGCTGCGTGGCGGATTTACGTGGCGGATCCGCGAGGCGAGTGGAGTGCAACACCCAAACTCTCTCTCTCTCTCTCTCTCTCTCTCTCTCTCTCTCTCTCTCTGTCTCTCTTCTTTCCAGCCTGACAGATGGAGCGGAGCCCCCTGGCCGGTGCAGCGTGCATATGGCAGCGCGAGCTCCGCGCTATAAGCCCTCATTCATTAACGCCGTTTCCACCGCGCAACTGGTGCCGCGAGCTCTCTCTCTCTCTCTCTCTCTCTCTCTCTCTCTCTCTCTCTCTCTGCGAAGAAGAAGCCGTTTTGGTTTAATCCCTTCACGTGAGAGGAGCGCTTCTCTCGCGCTCACATCGGAACCGAGGAAACCGGGCCGCCGGGCTAGAGCGCGCGCCATGCCACCGGCACCGAAACCCTACAAATCGTGCCTGCTAGGCCTCATTATCTCATGCATATCATTCTTCTTCTTCTTCTTCTTCTTCTTCTTCTTCTTCTTCTTCTTCTTTATTCATTAGTCTCAGGCTCTAATATGTAGGCCTAAAACTACACATGATTGTCATACACTCCAACCAAAAGATGGTTCTTCAAGGGTTCTTTAGTAAAATCAATGGTTCTGTGCAGAGTTCCATAGAACTATTTCATGCTTAAATTGGCAAAAACGGTTCTACATAGCACCAAAAAGGGTTACTGATACAAGCTTGATATTTTAACAATGGCTAACCCTTTTTGGTGCTAGATAAAACCATTTTCAAAAAGGGTTCTATATAGAACCATATAGAACACATTCTAAGTCAGTCTGAAGGACCATTTTCACCATTTAAAGAACGATTTAAGCATAAGTGCTCATAGTTCTGTTTAGAAAGAACCCTTGAAGAACCACCTTTATAAAGTGTATAGAATCATTTTTTAAAAAGGGTTCTGTATAGAACCGTATACAACACATTGTACCTCAATCTGGCGAACCATTTCACCATGCACAACCACTGCACATTGTTCTTGGAGTGTTCATGGTTCTCTGTAGAACCGTTATCTTTACTAAAGAATCTTTTTTTGAGACTAAAAAGGGTTCTGTACAGAGCCATATAGCTACAACACATTCTCCACCAATCTGAAGAACCATTTCGCCATGAAAAGAGCAACCATTGCAAACTGTTCTTTGAGTGTTCATGGTTCTACACCAAACATTATTTGTGCTAAAGGGTTCTATACAGAAACACATAGCTACAACATTCTCAACCAATCTGGATAACCATTTCACCACGACTGCAAAATCACCACGACTGCAAAATGTTCTTTGAATGTTGATGGTTCTCTACGGAAACATTGTCTTTACTGAAGAACCCTTGAAGAGCCATCTTTTTTAAAAGTAACAGAACCCTATAGCTACAACACATTCTCCACCAATTTGAAGAACCATTTCACCATGCAAAGAACTATTTAGGCATGCAAATGGTTCTATATAGAACACTAAATAGGACTATTCTCTTTACCTTGAAGAACCATATTTTTAAGAATGTAGATTTGCAGGTAAGACTTTACTGAAGAGCAGCATTCATGAGTGTTCATGACACCAACCTTGACATAACCCTACATAAAAATTTATAAAGGTTTATTCCATCCTAAAAGCTGCTTTGGTCAGTTTTGAGGTTATTGGAACTGACGCTTGTTGGAAAAAGCCTTTATTAATGTCTATGTAGGTTCGTGTCGTGGAACCTTAAGAACGCTGGCCTTCAGTACAATATTACCAATGTTTTGTTAATAAATATTTCGTTATTATTATTTCTGCATTATTATTAATGCTGTTGTTAGGATTAATAATAATTTTGTTCTTGTTTTTCTTGTCACAGTAGTAGTAAAATCGAAGCAGTGAGTGAGTAAGAGAAAGAGAGAGAGAGTGATAGAGAGAGTGATAGAGAGAGAGAAAGAGTAAGATGTAGGCCAGTGGTCCTAAACTGAGTTTAATCGTCATAGGTGGCCCATCAGCAGCAGATTAAATAAGCGCCCCTTTTTTCCTCGCCTTGTTTTCCGTGTAAAATATTAATGCAGTCGAGCGCGTCACTTTATGTGCGTGTTTTCGTCAGGATCCCTCCCTTCGCGAGAGAAACCTGGCCGCTCGCGGCGCCTGCGTCCGTCCTCGGCCCACCGTAGCTACCGGTTAAGTAGTACGAGGCGCGCGGAGGTTTGGAAGCCGCTCTCGAGCGCTAAATAAAACGCAAAAAACACACAAAAAATAAATGCACACGACCTCAGTGAGCTCGCGGCTTTCACGGTGGCGCGGGGCGGAGGGAGTAACCGGGGACGGTGGGTAGCCGCAGCGCGCGCCTTACAGCTATGCCACCATAAGTTTCCCTATTCATTCCATCCCGCCTATTCTGTCTAAAACGTTATTCGTTATAACCGTTTAATCGATACAAAAACAAAAACCGTTTTTTTTTTCGTTTTCACACTTTTTGTTTTAAATTTTGATTTAAATGTAAAATAAACGGCTACATGCGCCAAATATAGGGAACGATTCGAACGTTGGAACCCTGAAACACCCCCCTCCACACCCCTCCCTCCCTATCAGCAAGCACGCGCGACGTACTAATCATCCTAAAAAAATAAATAAAATAATAAAAATATCTAAAAGCGCGCGAGCACTTCCTGCCTGCCGCGGGTCTGACTGAAAGCGGCGAGCCTCGCGGAGGGAGATAAAGAGAGGAGAACGAGGAGAAAGCAGAGAGAGAGAGAGAGAGAGAGAGAGAGAGAGAGAGAGAGAGAGAGAGAGAGAGAGAGAGGAGATTAAAAAAGAGCGAATTAAACGAAACAAAAACGAATTGCAAACCACCACCGAGCACTCATACTCCAAATCACATCAACAAGAAATGCGGCCAATGAATTCAACACTGAGAGAGAGAGAGCGAGAGAGAGAGAGAGAAAGAGAGAGAGAGAGAGAGAGAGAGAGAGAGAAAGAGAGAGAGAGAGAGGTACATGAAGCTCAGACAAAGAAGCTGACTTACATGCCTATATATGTCCAAAAACGTTTTAATCAAAAGCTGCTGCAGACGCCGCTTTACATTATTATACACGGTATTAAAATTGAAATAAAAAAAGAAAATCGGCAAATGCGCCAAAAAACGCCTCCATTTCATTAGCGGCTAAACGCGGGAAGGTAAATAGGTAAATAGGTAAATAGCACGAGCGTCTGCATTCGGCTTTCTAGAGGAAAAATAATGTGCACCATCCATATTTACTCAGTCATGCATTATTTAGAAAAAACGCAAAAACGCAAAGCCAAAATGTATTAAACGAAACTTACGTTTGTTTAAAAAATGTAAAAAAAAAATCTCCAAAAAGAGAGGAAAAATGGATAAAGCCGTGAGGATAAGGAGAGCACGAAAAAGAGAAAAAAGCCCAAAAACGACCATAAAGCAGAGTCCACCAAATTTAAAGAGGGGGAAAAGCGAAAGAAAGAAAAAGACAGAAAAGAAAGAAAAAAAAGGGGAAAAAAGAAAGAAATCATCAAAAAAAGTGTTGAAAGCGCGCTCGGTTCCTTATTAGGCGAAGATACAATATTTATTCCGTGTCTCCAGGGATGAGGCTCCTCTCTCTATTGTCCTCCCATTCCTCCTCAGTGCTGATGCTTAATTTTCAAAACTTCGATATTACCAAGGGACCTACGACATCAGCCGGAGAAATACCCAGCAAGTACATAACCGGAGCCAGGCAGCGCGCGCTCTGCAGTGGGGGAACGCGCTCACCACCGACTCCGACTCCGCCGGGCCACTTTTGCGTTTTTTCCGCGCGTTGTTATTATTATTATTGTGGGGTTTTTTTTCGGGAGGGATTTTTTTAGCGCGCGCTCTCTCGCTCTCTCTCTCTTTTTCTCCCTTCTGTTTTTTTTCTCGCTTTTTACTGTTGGATTTATTTGGACAGCGCGAGGAAACCGGGGTGTGTGTGCGTGTGTGTGTGTGTGTTTTTTTTTTTTATTAATTGGATCGCGAGAATGTCAGCCACCTTTCCGGGACTGGTTCACGACGCGGAGGTACTGAAACACATTTATATTTACTATTTCTCAGCAACGCTGTGATAGGAAATGTGTTTTAATGTCTGTAATGCAGCTGTGGGTGTTTGTGTGTTTGCTAGATTAAGAAAAAAATAAATGGAAATTTTTACGGTTGTATTTGTTTATATATCTGTACGTTGTCCATGATTAGAGCAGGTTTGTTTGGTTATTTATTTATTTATTCATTGGCTGTGACTTGTGGTGCTTACCTGTTGTGAAAAACAGAAAAAAAAACAAGAAAGAAAGAATAAAGGAGGACAAATAAGCGTCTAAATCCATTTTAATCGCTAAATAGAGAAGAAAAAAAATATAAAATTTAGTAACACACCATGCACGGTCCGTAGCAAAATGATAGACAAGTGAGGAGAGAGGGAGAGAGAGAGAGGGAGGAAAGAAAGAAAGAAAAAAAACTGCTGCCACCTCGCTCGCTCGCTCGCGCGCTTTTACAGCGCCGTTTTCACGCGCTCCCCTCCCGGGCACGGCGAGATGACACCGCCGTCAGGTAGTTTTTTTTTCCTAAAGACACTTTGAGCTCGTGTGTATGTATGCGCGCTCGTGCGTCTGCGTGAGTGTGTGTTTGGAGGAAAGGCAGCTCCTTTTTTAACGTGTGTGTGTGTGTAAGAAAGTGTGTGTGTGTGTGTGAGAGAGATGTTTTCACGGACGTAGCTGCAAGCGCTTGTAAATGACATCCCTCATATTCCTCTCTCTCTCCCTCTCTCTCTCCCTCTCTCTCTCTCTCTATCTCTCTCTCCGCTCTTTCCTCTTTGCACGCAGATACGTCACGACGGATCAAACAGCTACCGTCTGATGCAGCTCGGCTGCCTCGAGTCCGTGGCTAACTCGTCCGTCGCCTACTCCTCGTCGTCCCCGCTCACCTACCCGGCCACAGGGCCCGAGTTCGCCTCGCCCTACTTCCCCGCCAACCACCAGTACACGCCCCTGCACCACCAGTCCTTCCACTACGACTTCCAGCACGGCCACCCGGCCGTCAACCCGGACGCGTACTCGCTCAACCCGCTGCACCACTCGCAGCAGTACTACCAGCAGCTGCACCACCACGGCGAGCCCGCGGACTTCATCAACCTGCACCACGGCGCGCGCGCGCTCAAGTCCTCCTGTCTGGACGAGCAGCAGCGGCGCGAGCTCGGCTGCCTCGACGCCTACAGGCGCCACGACCTGTCGCTGGTCAGCCACGGCTCGCAGTACGGCGTCCATCCCGAGCAGAGGCTGCTGCCAGGAGCGGGGCTCGGGTTGCCCCCGCCTGGGGCCGATGACCTGCAGGTACCCCCCCCAACACACACACCCCACCCCCCCTTCAACAAATCCACAACAAACTGTTCCACAGAAAACACGCAGGCCTGAGTGAGGTTCCCCTCATACTGCACACTCCCCTCATACTACAACATCATACGCTTAGCTAAACTGGCTAGGCTAAATCCCAATCGTCTAATCTAGCAAGCTTTATTTCATAATTTAATATTGTTAATCCGTGTTTCTCAGTCCTGCTCCTAGATGGGCCCGAGCAATACTGTGCTCCCGCTCCAATATCCCTCAAAAAGAGTTTAGCACTGAGCGGATGGGTTGATTGAGGCGTGTTTCAAGTTCTTTCTGGAAGTGAGTGCAGTGTTTTACAGTTTCGCTCCTGGAGTAAAGTCCCCACCGTGCTGCCATTTTAGGGCTTCATCTGCTCTAATCCACTTGACTGGACTCTTCAGTTCATTCCCAAACCATTTAGACTGACAATTCCAAAGCCTAAACCATTTACATTGGGAATTTTTAAGCCTAAACTATTAGGATTGAAAATTCTAAAGCCTAAACCATTTAAATTGGAAATTCTAAAGCCTAAACTCTTTAGGATGGAAATTCTAAAGCCTAAACCATTTAAATTGGAAATTCTAAAGCCTAAACTCTTTAGAATGGAAATTCTAAAGTCTAAACCATTTAAATTGGAAAATTTTAAACCTAAACTATTAAGATTGGAAATTCTAAAGCCTAAACCATTTAAATTGGAAAATTTTAAACCTAAACTATTAAGATTGGAAATTCTAAAGTCTAAAACATTTAAATTGGAAAATTTTAAACTTAAACTATTAAGATTGGAAATTCTAAAGTCTAAACCATTTAAATTGGAAATTCTGAAGTCTAAATCATTTACTTTGAAAATTCTAAAGCCTAAACTATTAGGATTGGAAATTGTAAAGTAAAAACCATTTAGATTGGAAATTCTAAAATCTAAACCATTTAAATTGGAAAATTTTAAACCTAAACTATTAAGATGGGAAATTCTAAAGTCTAAACCATTTAGATTGGAAATTTCAAAGCTTAAACCTTTTAGTTTGGAAATTCTAAACTCTTTAGATTGGAAATTCTACAGCATAACCCATTCAGATTGGAAATTCTGATGTATATAGCAATTAGATTATATATTATAAAGCCTAAACCATTTAGACTGGAAATTCTAAAGTCTAAACTCTTTAGATCGGAAATTGGAAAGTTAGAGCAGATAAAACACTGGAATGTGGGGAGTGTCAACTACCTGAAGAAGCAGTCCAGATTATGTTGGCATATTAAAATTGGACTGGAAAACAGTGGGCAAAGCTAGAGAGACCTGCTTAATGGCGTAAGAGAGAACGAGCACTGCGTTTAGAGGAAATGATCGCGAATATAATAATAATAATAATAATAATAATAATAATAATAATAACTCGGTATCAGAAACATCAGAAACTCACGATATTCCGCCTTAGCAAGAAAATAAACACTAACAAAAAGAAATATAGAGTAAGTGTCTCGAGTTATCCTGAAAAAAGCCAGATCATTTAAATGAAGTGAACAGACGTTGGCTGAGTGTGTGAAATGCTGTAATACTGTGCGCGCGTGTGTTTTGTCCATCTTGTGCCATTGAGAGGTCAGAATAAAGAATAAAGCGCTGCGCTGGCTGCTGTTTCGCTGCTGCGCGCTAAAAGGGCGGATTAAGGCGCGCGGACAAAAGGCATATAAAAGACAAATCCTCCGCAGTAGAGCACCGTAGTTTATCCAATTTAGGACTTAATGTCAATCAACTGGTGATTTATGCAGAGACATCTGAGCGCAGGCCAAGTTTACCCGGCGAGTTAAGACCGAGTTAAACAGTTAAACAGCGCTCGAGCGCTCCTGCTTTCAGCCTATACCTTCTTTTAGTTTTTTAGATTTTTTTTTTTTTGCTGTTTTGAATTGTCAACAAAGCTCAGCAAGGCTGAGTCTGAGTGTGTGTGTGTGTGTGTGTGTGTGTGTGTGTGTGTGTGTGTGTGTGTGTCTACAAAAAATTAGCACCACGTTGATAATCTGAGACAAAATATTTTGACAATAATGTAATAATACAAATACTGTATGTATGAAATGAATGGACTAATTATATTAAGACATAAACGTCACACAAACCCGTCTTAGATAAATAACATATAAGAATGAAGACACTGTACATATATTGTTATGCTGTTTAATAAAATATTTTTGTTCATTTTAATTTTAATTGCTGAACTCTGTTGACTCCAAACTCCAGCACTTATTCTTTTTATTCCGTATTAGACATTAATACACTAACCTACAATGCCTATTATGAATGCAGACATATTCTACATTGTGATGACGTGTCGCGCTTTACTGCGTGTTTTCATACCGTTAAACTGAGGTTTTATATCTTTTCTCATTACGTTTTGGAGATTATTGTGATTGTTGAACACATTCAGTAAGTGAGATGATAAACTGTCATTACTGTCAGTTTGACATTCAGATCACTTTCAACTAAATCTAACGAAAGAAAGAAAGAAAGAAAGAAAGAAAGAAAGAAAGAAAGAAAGAAAGACAATGCAAGAAGAAAAGAAAGAAAGAAAGAAAGAAAGACAATGCAAGAAGAAAAGAAAGAAAGAAAGAAAGAATGACAATGAAAGAAGAAAAGAAAGAAAGAAAGAAAAATAAAGAAGAAAAGAAAGAAAGAAAGAAAAAGAAAGAAAAAAAGAAAAACAAACAAACAATGAAAGAAGAAAAGAAAGAAAGGAAGAGAGAGAGAAAGAAAGAAAGAAAGATAATGAAGCGAAGAAACCGGAAGAGAAAGAATTTCCTCTATTTCTCTAAATTACAAAAAAAGAAGCAAGAAAAAAAAAAAACGTAGAAAAAGAAAATAAGAAATGCGAAAAGAAATGTAACGCAAATGAACGAAACGTGAGAAACAGGAAGAACATAGATTTAAAATATATAAATAAATAAATGAATGAATAAAGACAGAGGAAAAGAAGAACAGCACGAGAGGAGAAAGGATAGAGACAAAAATAAAAAAGAGGAACACGAAAGTCGCGTGAGAAGGGTTTCCTCTCTCTCTCTCTCTCTCTCTCTCTGTCCCTCTCTCTCTCTCTCTCTCTCTCTCTCTCTCTCTCTCTCTCTCTCTCTTCTCTCTCTCTCTCTCTCTCTGAGCAGATTAAACAGATTTGGTTGGGGCACAAAGCCTCCTTCACCTTCTCTAATTTATGCCCGGATGGCCGCGCGCGGAGGGGATTGATCTGATAATCACTTTAACCGCGCGTGGAAAGGGCCAGAAAGAAAAGAAAAGAAAAGAAAAATAGAGCAGGAGTTTGTTAAAATAGGCTTTACACCCGCACCTCTTCAGCGCGGCACTAATACACTGCCGCGCGCGCCCGCCTGTGTGTGTATGTCTGTGTGTGTGTGTGTGTGTGTGGCTCGTGAGGAGGATTAACTCTCTTTCTTTCGCTAAAATCCCGTGTCCGTCTTCCTGATGACATCACCGATAAGGGAGAGGGTGAATTAATAATAATAATAAATGATAATAATAATGCATAATTTTTTCATCTCACGATCCTCCATCATGAAGCTGATAGTCCCTCTTACTGATGCTGAAATATGTGTGTGTGTGTGTGTGTGTGTGTGTGCAGGGCTCCGTGGACGCGCAGTGCGGGCTCATGCTGAACGGGCAGGGCGGAGTGATCCGGAGAGGTGAGTCGCTCATTTACACACTGATCCATTTCCATAAAGCCGCGCTCGCTGTAACTGTGTAACTGTAAGTGTGTAACTGCGTAACTGTAAGTGTGTAACTGTAAGTGTGTAACTGTAAGTGTGTAACTGTGTAACTGCAACTGTGTAACCTTGCCCAGCCTGAAATAACTGGGCTGCAGTTTCTGAGGTTAATTTGTTTTATGCTGGAAATTTTTGGTTTGGTTTTGGTTTCATTTTGGGTTTATTTTAGATTTCGTTGGGGTGAATGTTGGTTCAGTTTAAGGTTACCTTCAGTTTGGTTTGTGTTCAGCTTCGGTTATCTATGGGTTTAGTTAAGCTTTGATTGAGTTTAGGTTTAGCTTTGAATTTATTTGAGTTAGTCTGAGTTCAGTTTGGGTTCCTTTTTGTTTTTGGTTTAGGTTTAGCTTGGGTTTAGTTAGAGTTTAGTTGATGTTCAGTTTTGTTTTTTTTTGTTTTTTTGTTTAGGTTTTTGAGTTTAGTTTTAGTTTTGAGTTTGATTTGGTTTAGATTTAGTTTGAGTTTAGATGGTGTTCAGTTTTTTTGGTTAAAGTTTAGTTCAGGTTTAGCTTTCTCTTTGGTTTAAATCTAGTTTGAGCTTAGTTTGTGCTGTTTTGTTTTTGGTTTATGTTTAGTTTGGTTTCGTTTTAGTTTCTTTTGAGTTTGATTTGAACTTAGTTTGTGTTCAGTTTGGATTTAGTGTAGGTTTAGCTTGAGTTTAAGCTTAGTCAGAGTTTAGTTTGAGTAGCTCAGCTCGCTCAGTGTTGTGACTCAGACATAAAATGTCTGTGAACAAAATGAACATAAGAATTTAAACAGAATATTTTGCTGTTGCTGTGTTTATTATTACCATTTAACATAATTTTATAGTGATAATCGCTCAATACTGAGTTTTTTTTGGCGCAGATGCACAATAAGTGTTCAATATATTATTATTATTATTATTATTATTATTATTATTATTATTATTAGTAGTAGTAGTAGTAGTAGTAGTAGTACATACGCAATTAAATTTAAGCGAGCGGATTATGTGTATGAATTTGTGCAAGAATTAATATTGTATTTAAATGTTCAATATTTGTTTATTATATTTTTGGGCATTTGCATATGAAATTTTATTGTTTTCTTTTTGTCTAAGCTTTTGTTATAAACCAGGTGCAATGAGTTATGAATAAACTAAACGTGATTTATAATTTGACAACAATCATAGTTAGCCATTATTAGTATCATTATTATTATTATTAGTAGTAGTAGTAGTAGTAGTAGTAGTAATATATAATGTTTTTTGTTTATATTATGTTTACGTTGTTTTTACGTTCACTGGTTTTGTTAACGCATTGTATGTGTGTGTGTGTGTGTGTGTGTGTGTGTGTGTGTGTGTGTGTGTGTGTGTGTGCACTTTTGCCATCGAGCGCGCGCGTCTCGGCCCCTTAATTTTTAATCGTCTCAGTCTAAAGGTGCTCTGTGTGTGTGTGTGTGTTGTGCGCGCACGCAAGGCTCCCAGCTCGATCACTTCCAGTTAATGGCAGCGCAGGATCATTTATTTATTTATTTATTTATTTATTTTTATTTATTTTTTATTTTATTACTTCTTTTTTATTATTATTTTATTTTTATTATTGCTGTTTTTTTTTTTCATTTTCGCCGCGAGCTCCGCCGCTCGCGCCATCAGATCCAATAATCTTTGCTTTAGCTCGCGCTCCCGTATCGATAGCTTCTCTCGCCTCGGGCGGCCGCTTTGATATGTTAATGCGGCTCGAGTCCAAAAAAATTCAGCGGAGATCATATTAATGCTGTTCACACTGACTGCAGCTCGCGCTGAATATTCACACACCGGCTCGCGCTTTATTATTCTCCGATCAGTCGTTTATTTATTTATTTATTATTTTATTTATTTATTTATTTGATGGTAAGGAATGGCTGAAGTGCGCGTGCAGTCGCTTTGCGTTTTTAATCATTACCATCGCGCTCAGCTTTCAGAGGTCTGATCAACACTTACCCCGCCTTTTAGCGCGTGCACAGTGCATAAAGGAAGGCGCGCGCGGCGTGTAGGCCTGTCTGTTATTGCTTGTGTATGCGCATGTATATTAGATATGCGCGTGTGCGCGTGTATGCCTGAACATGTATGTAGTACACTCTTAGAAAAGATGGTTCTCCAAGGGTTCTTTAGTAAAGACAGTGGTTCTACACTGGCATGCTTTATAATTGTTCTTTGCGTGGTGGAATGGTTCTACAGATTGATGGATAATGTGCTGTATATGGTCCTATATAGAACCAAAAGTGGTTCTCATATTATTACAAGCTTGAGAACCAAAACCTTTTCAAAAAGGTTCTATATAGAACCATGTACTCCATCAATCTGAAGAACTATTTCAACATTCAACCATGTAAAGCACGCGAATGGTTCTTTGAGTGTAGAACCACTGTCTTTACTAAAGAACCGTTGAAGAGCCATCCTTTTTAAGAGTGTACGTTTAAGTACGCGCGTGCGTGTGCTGTGTGTGCGTGCTCTCGTGCCGTGGCGCGCGCCATAAACACCACCACCACCACCACAACCACCAGCACTCCATTTGAAACAGAAGCAGAATGACATTTGGCCTATGTCTCTCTCTCTCTCTCTCTCTCTCTCTCTCTCTCTCTCTCCCTCTCTTCCTCTCTCTCTCACCCTCACTCACTCCCTCTCTCTTTTTTTTCTTTAATTTTCGTGGCAAACTCGTAAAAAAAGCTCTTGATTCGCTTTGTGATCGCTCGCGCTGCGCCTCGGGCTACTGCCGCGCGCTTAAATACCGCTATCGCCTCTGGGCCCGGCGCGCGCGACCAGACTACCGGCAATAGCTCTTTTTCAATCGCCCTTGGCAACATAAAATACAAACTACTTTGAATCAAAACATTTTTTTTTGGCGGGGAATTAATGTGATGTGAACTTGCATGCTAGGAGATATCTTAGGTCTGTCAGACCACTTCACACTGACTGACACGGAGCGGAGGCAGGTGAGAGACCCTGTAGCCAGAGCCGCAGCCCTTCAGGAGCGCACGCGCACGCGCTCGCACACGCAAAGACTCATTCAGGAGCACTCAGTCAAGACAACCGGCCCGTTCCTTCTCAGCGCATCTAGTGCTGCTTCCTCTGATACTGATACAACGGCCCGGTCATCAACGGCCAAATCAGAGTCAGGCAGAGGCTGAGGTTGAGGCAGAGGCTGTGGCTGGGGCGCCATGCACCCAAATGTCCTACACTATTATTAAAAAGCAGGCCCATCTGTTGCATGACTGTGGCTTTGGTTTCACATAATAATACGAGCCTATATACATACATACATACATGCATACATACGTATATAGATAGATAGATAGATAGATAGATAGATAGATAGAGACATAAATGCATGTATAATGTGCTCCTACATATTGTATTGTACTATGTATATTTTGCACATGCACATTTTTACATATTGGTAAAATATATAATAAAATGTGACACGTACAGAAGTTATGAATAATTTTTCCCACTATATTAAACTCAACAAACAAAAAGAAACTGTGCACTAAAACGTATTTGTTTCCTGTATTTATAACAAGTCTGGTCGTTTATATATGGCTGCATATACATTCTGACCATGTATGCATAAGTGTGTGAATATAGGTTTTTATTTTAAAGCAGTCTGACTCATTAGAGAAGAGGCACAGACCTATAATTGTGGGTAGGTAGGTAGGTAGATAGATAGATAGATAGATAGATAGATAGATAGATAGATAGATAGATAGATAGATAGACAGACAGTAGGTAGTATGTATAGGGGTTGTAGGTAAGGTGGTCACTGGTTAGACATGTAAATAAATAGAACAAAATGCAATATATTTGTTTATCTGTCTATATGGGTCCATGTAAGTATGTATGTGCAGACCCTGTACGCGGAAACATGTAAAGGTACATTTTTATGTGTAATCAAGGTGATGTGTCAAGCAGCCAGACTACAGGAAAGGCATTGACTCATTTATATCGCTGTTGTCGGCAGAAAACCTCATATCTCCAAAATGATGACTTTATAGGAGAATGAAAAAAAACTACTTTAAATGTAAGTCAATGGAACCAGACATTTTTCCACGCCATTTTACGCCATTTCAATTACAGCTATCTAGATAGGTGTTTATATGGAGCTCATTATTATTTATAAGTACTCACATACTGTATATAATACATAAAGAACATGATGGCATATAGAGGTGCTAGCATATATGTAGTACATATATGATAAATATACAGTAAATATATAATACAAATGGGACATGCAGTTACAGCAGTCTACAGAAAATCTACCGAAACGTCACATTGTAGATTTCCTGTGTGCTTGTTTGTTTTTATACCTATAGTGCATCATCTGTGGAGCATTTTCACCTTAGCACCTTTCACCCTGCATTAGTTGTTTCCGTCCCCGTTCCCACACATTTCTGTGCTTTCTCTAGTCTAATACACCCATTTTAACTCAGGAAGGGTTTGACAATCAGCTGATTCGTTGAATCAGGTGTGCCAGTTCAAGCGGTATCAAGCAGTTTGACTGGGTTCATTCAAGTCAGATTCATTCTTTAATCAAAATGAAGTGAAGTGTGAATAAACAAAAGCAAATTTCTGAAATCCAGACTCTCTCACTTCAAATGAACCTCAGCCCGGTGTAGGAAACCTCAGTGCTTCATGCTGATGTTTGTTTATTTATGCTGTTGTTGTTGTTGTTGTTGTTTACAGGTGGTACATGTGTGGTGAACCCTACAGATCTGTTCTGCTCTGTGCCGGGCCGGCTCTCTCTCCTCAGCTCTACCTCCAAATATAAAGTCACCATCGCTGAAGTCAAGCGCCGCCTCTCTCCTCCAGAGTGTCTGAACGCC